TCAGACTTTACAGTCTTTATTACACCTTGATTATTGTAATAAATCATAATGGGTGCTGATTCAGTCTGTAGTACTTCTTTAGCAAATCGTTTGAGCCAAATGGCTTCTTGAGTAGCATACACTAGTGCTTACAACTCTGCTTTGTAAACAGATAGTGGTACCAGGTTTTGCTGTTTGCTTGACCAAGATATGGTTGATTTAGCTAATTGAAAGACATAACTGTTTATTGCTTTATGTCCTTCTGTCATTCGTCTGTCTGTATTACAATAGCCTCATAGTTTTAAGGTGTTCATGCTTCCAAGTTGAAGCTAACAATTTGTTGTATATTTTAAATACACAAAGTAATGTTTCACTACTTTGTAGTGATGCATTTAGGGCTTTTGTAAGTAGCACACTAATTGCCCAGTAATATAAGATATGTCTGACTGTGTGCAGTCTACAACATATCTTAACAATCCTACCATATTCATGTATGGCATTGTTTCATTATTACTTTCGTTTGTATTGTATGTATTGTTTGTATTGTTAGATAGATCTATTCCAGGAGTAATAGGTGTTTGTAGTGCCTTTTTGTTTTCAAAGTGGTAACACTTGATTATACTTTCAATATAATGCTTTTGTCATAAGCTAATTGTTTGTTGTAGTCTATCTCAGCTTATTTCAATACCAAGTAGCTAATGTATTTTGTTACCATCAGTAAATGTAATGTGTTGTCTTAATGCATGTTTAAATGCCATTATTATAGCAATAGTTTTGCTAATAATTGTAATATTGTCAATGTGTATAAATGTTACAAGAATTGTTTTATTATTTTGTTTCTTGTAAAATACAGTATGATTGTAATTAGCTCGTTCTAATCTGATCTTAAGTAGTAGTTTGGTAATCTTCTTGTACCATTGTCTACCTGCTTGTTTCAATCTGTATAATGCTTTATTTAAGTATAATGCCTGTCTAGGTTTAATATCCATAAGTAGCCTGCCTGGCAGTGGTTTCATGTAGATGAGTTTGTCCTCATTTAATTCTCTGTAAAGATATGCAGATTTTACATCTATCTGATGTATTTTGTAGTTCTTAGATGCTGCCCAAGATAACAATAATTGTACTGTTGATAGTTTTGTTACTGGAGCAAATAAGTCATCAGAATAGAAGTCTATTCTATTCTTTTGAGTGTATCCTTACACTACAAATTGTGCTTTATATTTGTCTATTTGGCTGTTAGCCAGTCTTTTGATTTTATAGACAAATTTCGTTCCAATTACATTTGTATTTGTAGGGGGGATAGCATATATCTATGCATTTC